GCGATGAGTGGAAGCGGCAAGGAAATATATATATATATATATATATATTCCTTCGATCGCATGTACGAATGAATTAAATTCCAGTGTCAAGTATCAGAAGGTTAGGAGAATATTGTGTGTAGATAAACCTTGCCACCCCTTGCCCCCGGGGGAGCCCCGCGCACAATGTGGAGATGATGAATGGGCATCGGGAGAGGAGATCGAAGCGAGGGCCGTCTTGCCTCAACTCTCTCCTACAAAACTATAGGGCAATTAATTGTGCCTTGTCCCCTCATCCTTCATCTCCTTGTGGCACGTATCGATGGAGATTACTGCTGATGGACCATTTTATCACCTTAAATAAACAGTCACCACCTCTTCTAACCTCAATCTAATATACGGGCTGCGCGCGTCCACCTTGTAAAGTTGCTGCTCCTGGATGGGGGAAAAAACAGAATGGTGGAAAATAGCTACAGCACGCTGAAGATACGATAGCAATTGGGGAAATATATACAGTACACTGTGTACATATATATGTATACGTCGAGGTTTAATCCCAAGAGGCTCCTCTTCGCCCCCTCCTCCTGCTTGCCCGCCAGGCTGGGAGTGGGGCAAAAGATGCTAGCCAGACAGAGGGGTAAATGCACGGAAGGGGGCGGGCTGTTGAACCTGCTGGTTCGTTTCACACGTTGCAGAACGCGGTGTGGGGCAGAAATGTCCCTTCTTTGTTTTTAAACCTCCGGGGGGGGGGGGCGGAGGGCAGCGAGGCAGCAAAGATACGTTTTAAAACTAGACTTCGAGAGCATAAAAGCAGGATTTAGGAGGCACGGCGTCTCCTCCTCTTTGGCCCTGCTTTAATTAAGGATTTCTCACCATAAACTGCCCTTACTGAAAGAAGTGGAAGGGGGGGGGGGTAGCTCTCTTGGACTTATAGTAATCAGTAAACAACTTAAAAGGGGTTAGAAATAATTGCGCTAGGCCAAAAATGTTTTGTCTGGGTTATTGCTTATTTGCAAATTTTAGGATAGGAAAACCTTCCACGTCCAGCACTGAATTTGTTCACTCGCGTGGGCGCTGTGAAAGAGAGAAAGGCTGGAATTCTGTTTCATCTCCAGTAAAAACGCCCTTACTTGCTCAGCAACTTTGGAGTTCATCAAACCTTTACAACAGCAGACCCAGATTGCTCATTTCACCGAATCCATTCGACTCCCAATTCTCTCAATTTGCTGTGATTTCCTTGCTAGAATATTTCCGCTAGAAACAACAAACCTTCAACGTTTCATAAATAAAGAAATAAAAATCAATCCATCTGTGCGGGCAATATCTTCTCAATGTTAACCTCAAATTAATTTATGTCAAGAACTGGAAATTCCTAAGTGCCAAAGACAGCAGTCAAGTGTCTATTTATCTGGAAGTCGACGTGAAAGTGAAGCAATGGCTGTTTATATTTTTTAAAAGTGTGAAATTGTAAATTAGCTAC